TGCCTCCTGTTTCTCGAAGTGGTACTCATTTATCAACAGTGGAAGGAAAAAAAAGGCGAGTGATCTCAATCGGACTTTGAATTCGGGACCTGTTGGTTCTAAGTCCGATGCCCCACCGACTGAACAGCTCCAGTCTGACGTAACTTATGGTAAATTCTTTGCTTAAGAGAATTTGTGGCTGAACCAAAGATTGCCCTACACCGAAATCGAATCCGGAATCTTCGAAGATCGAAGCTGATCTCTTAGGTACTGTGTAGCCACTAGTTATTGCAAAGAGGCTAACAAAAATATGAAATCGATATTGGCTGAATGACTGCACTGAAACAAACTTAAAGCATATATACATATATATATTTAAAAGTCAACTGACCTAGTGCCTTAGCAAACGCTTCCCAGTTGCTTTCTTCCAAGCCGCTGCTGAAGCTTTTTTTCAAATCTTTCAGTGTGCTTGGTAACAGGGTGTGAAGTGAGGAGTCATGAGCTACTAAAAAGAATAGCTTTCAGGCCGCGACAACGAATATCCAGCAAACGATGTAAGCACGTTAACATTAGACATGCGGTTAGGCGAAACTTATTATTGGCTGTCGCGCGAACGAATACATAATTACTGTAATATAACGCACCGCAAAAGTTAAAACCAAGGTTACCTAACATTGGCAGGAGAAAATCGCTCTGATTCACTAAGCGTTTTGCAACCTTGGGCTGTTTCTGCATCTGACCACTGGGAGCGCTGTTCAACTGCCGTCGACAACCGAAACTTTTTCCCGAACTGTAGTAGCACGAGCGAAAGCACAGCTTCATCTGATTGTTTTTAACGATTGCATAGATAATCAAAACCAGCAACAGCGTTCCCAACAACGTGCAGCATACGTAAATAAGACTTTTGCCAGATTCTTCTGAGTCTTTATTGCCATCTTCGAATACTTCTAAGTCTAAAGAAGAAACGTAAACATATAACGTCTGTGCAGTGAGTAAAATTGAGCTGCAGAGTTAGAAGAATGCATTCAGCAGATAATAAGAAAAACAGCTATTTTTGGAATCATGAGAATTTTAACAAATTGAAAATATCACAAAGCTGCTGAACAGCTAGTATGAGATTCATTCTTCGTAGAGCGAAATGCATCACACAACGACCATGACTTGCCAGCCCTTATCGGCCAAAATATAGTTTATGAGGACGGACAAGTATAGTGGAAACCTGGTCCACTGTGTGACGCGTTCCGCTGAGTGTAATATAAACCTTGTTTTAACTGTTAATACGATTTCTATAACGACAGTCCTTTTCGAACAAATCTGAAGCAGTTAAATATGAGATGGCTCGATTGTATGAAACGTGCGGCATTGTAGTGCCTCATAATTTGGCCCAAGGAGTTATTCGCTGTATGGAAACCTGCTTCTACCTTCACAGGGTTTTTGAAGCAGTTGCTCTCCTCTCTGACTCTAAAAGAATAGCATGCATTTAAAAAGAATAAATGGTGTGGGGTAGCGGATAATGTTGATAATGAAAGTTTTTGTCTTCGAATGAACACTGAGCTACTGTCAAATGTCTAACCGCTGAAATTATTTGCCACGCTGCCGTAGAAATGCATAATGTTTGTCGCTCTTTTGAAAGGCTCATATCTAAGCAAATCTGAAGATTTGCAGCCCTAAATGCAGAGAAAGAATTCCAGCAGTTCAAATCATAAAATTCCGTTTTTGTTCAAGCAAGGAAAATTGAATCAGGTTAGGCCTGATCGAGACATTTTAACTGACAAAAAATGATTTGACATAAATGCTTCAAATTTCATATAAAATTGAAACTCAAGTTTCTACTTTTCATGTTCGATCTTGGATCACATCGTACGGAATGAGCAAAACATAGCTGCCAAATTCTTCCTCGATAGTCAATAAAGCTCTGAATAGTTTACGTGAGTTCTAAAACGGTCATTTATCAAAGCAATGGATAACAGCTGGTTCATGCTTTAGTGGTAAATCCTTTTAAGACCGAATTTACAGATGAAGAACTAGAATTCTGACCGAAAACATAGATACCTCTATCCAAATATATCTTCGAATACGACTGTCCAAGTATGCCATCGCTACCCGTTTGACAGGGTATGACCCCGGGGCTAATTTAACTATAAAGAACGTCAATGTACTGTTGCCGTGCAAATATGACCCTCTCTTAAGATTCAGCGTCTAATATCGAAAACCCATATTAATATGGTTTACCTAATGAAAAAGAGAAAAGGAACGAGAGTGACTGATCCATCAAAGAATAACTGCATGTAAAATGCATATTCTGTCATAACCGCTGTCAGCAAATGGGCGATGGCGATTAGCTATTTCCGCTAATTCCTCATTTGCATTCTTTCTTGCGTATTTTTCAGAATACATACAATTCACTTCACATTTACTCATATCACATAGTTGTTAGAGTATTTCACTCGAACGTTAACGTTCTACAGAAAAACGGCATAAAACACGATTTATTAATAAACAACACAAAAAAATTGTCAATCGAATGATTGACAGCTACAGATGATTCACGAGCTTTCTTCAAGATACAGTTTTCGAGTTTTTTCTACTAACCGCTGCGGACAACAAAAAATGTTAGTGGCTGTTAATCATTCAACTGACCATATTATTTTTTGCGTTGTTATTAATAAACCTTGTTTTATGCTGTTTTTCAGGAGAGTTGGCTTTCTGCAAATTTGATTAATAACTAAAATGCATTAATCGAGGCAAAATATATGTCGTAACGGCTGAATGAATATCTCTAGAATATGTAGTATGTTTGGCTCCATAAGGCATCAGTTTGAAAGTCGCCAATATCAATATAATATAAACTCCTTGGTCATTCCATTCCAACGTAGAACCACACAGCATTCAGGCTGCCTTCTTACCTGCACAGTGCCAAGATCTATTGACAAGAAGTTGCTTGTTTCTTTTTCTTCCATCGTTGTTCTCTCATGGCCTCACTGTTCTCTTCAGTCCCCCTCGATCAGTAGCATCCTGACTGATTCCATTGAATAAACTGTCCACACCATCCAATCTAAGTTACTGGTCACCTTTTTCCTGCCTCTGGTTTCATCGATTGATACACTGTTGTGAACAAAAATTTGACTTTCCAACATTTACCACTCTAGCGTTCTTCCCCCCCCCTTCCGAGAGAGTCCCTTAACTTTATCAACAGTGTAATGTTGGTGATTAGAATGGAATAACTAACACTCCAAAACAATTATGAAAAGTTTCTGACTACCATACTTGTTTGCACGTGCATAAAATTAAGATATTATGAAAGTGTTAAGATAGCTTTGGATTCTTACAGTGACGCGTATTTCATAACCGTTGGTGAATACCTCTATCCCTCATTAAGTTCTTGAATATTCTGAGTAAGAAACAATTAACTTTATTCATCGAGCAAATCTGTCGTCCTCCTAACACTGAACAAAAATTGTTGAAATTTTGCGAAAAAAACGTCATTCGCCTCTTTAAAATAAATCGATTTTTAATTTTCCCATATTCACCCTCCAACATCCATTACACAGCCTCATAAACATCTCAAGGCAATCTAAGCATTAACGACCGGCAATCTGAGCGTCCGATGCTTTGATAAATCACCAGCATGCAGCCACGCGCAGCAAATTTAAGAACAAAGGCAAATGAAACGGGCTGGAACCAGGCGAATTCGTTCAGCAATAAACGGGTTTTCGTTATCACGCTGTCCCAAATTGCACCTGTCTCCTAAAAGCACGAATGCTGCCTAGGAGCCTTTTAAAAGACTCTTTTGATTCGCTTAAAGTTTTTACGACCTCATCGACGACATCCATTAGTGAATACCTTAGACGTTTCGAAAGTTTACGAAAGTTTTCGTTTCTTTCTTTATGTCACCCCTCAGTATTTTTCGTATCATTTACCGTACCAATTCAAAACTGTCACAAATTCTGTAGCGTCGATTTGTACTAGCAAAGTTCATTAAACCATAACCGCGATGCTCCATGTAGCTATAACATAACATTCAATTACAATTCATTAAGGACCAAACATACGAGTTGGTATTTTCCAACTCAGTGATGCGGTCTTGCGTCCAATGCGCTGCTATCACTTAAATTCCATGAAACCGTGATTGCATAACTGATTCCCCTGGGCGACTCTTCGTTAGGGAGTGGCGTAATGTTAGGATAAATCTCGGTGTAATGACTTCCATCCGTTTTACATTACAACAGCATTGGTGTAAAGTAAGAAACTTCTTACAATGGTAAGTGATATTTGCTGTGTTTGTTCAGATCATCACGTAGAGCCGTTTGCATAAGCAGAACTTCTCTGGCTGGTGATATCCGTTGTATCCGCGGTTTTTCAACACTTTTGCCCAAAGGCACCAGTTACTGCCTCACGGAAGGAAACATTCCTTTACAAAAGCAGATCTGCATCCACTTTATTCGTCCATGTTGCATGATCGCCTTTTGGTCAACATCTGACCTGTTTCGGCTCCCGCAAGGAAAGCTCATGGGGCTGGAGTAAATGATGTACGCTGAAAAAGTTTGTCCAACAGCGTCAATCTCCTTCTCTTATCTTCACATCTACTGAGGTAACATGTTCAAGGAAGAGAATAGCCATTTCTTATGTGGTCCAGCCATTTAACCCGCGTTATGCGTCGAAGCCAAATGCATAGTGCATGCAAATCAACTGCCGTTCTTGCTCCTTCACTAGAACAACACTAACCTGGCAGAGAAAAGGTACAGGCGGCTCTTCGTTAGAAGAGTAACTCCTTTCTCAGCTCAGATATTTGACAGGTTTCTAAAATCACTCGAGGCTAGAGCGATGCTCCTATTTAACTCTGTCTGAACAGTTCTATCGTTGGAGATTATGGACTCGAGATAAGCTGGTCATGGCCCTGTTCCACCTGTAGAACAGCTGTTTGGTACGGGTTCCTCCGAGCCTTAAGAAAAAGGTCGGCTTGGATAACTGAGTTGCATACGGAATCCGTCAGGTGACAGAGCCCGCTTCCCATAATACTCATCAAGACAATATCATCTGTGTATTCCAGGTTAGCAAGATATCTTAAACTGCACCTTCGCCCTAAAACGAGACCTCTGCCTTCGCCAGGGTCAACAATGTTTCGGAAAAGAAAGTCGATAACAGTGTTAAAGAGCAATGGTGAAAGCACCCTTGGCGTGCTCCACAGTTAATACGGAACTTCTTAGATAGATGGTAAGCAGTTTAATACCTGTTAGAGCTGTTAAGCCCTGATGACGCTACGGTCTATGCAGTGAAACGCGTTGGCATTAAACTGTTTACCATTTACTCTTTTTGGTGCCGCGAACCATTCAAATAACTACGTATAGAGACTATATGATTCATCCAATTATTAAGGCACAACCATACTGAGCCTCGCGAGAAATGTCCATGCAAAGGGCGCTGGAACGGAGGTGTAACGCGACAGCTGATCTAAGAATAGAAGATACAGAAGACCTAAGAAGATGAGTATGGGTTGTGGTCAGGCTGAAGTATCTCAGAACTCTCAGAACAGTTCTTGGCCTTATGCCAGATTGTAAAGAAATGGTGTTTGCTCTTCCGGCTTACATGTGCTTTCTTGTACTGGAAAAAGCCTATCGGCTGGATCCCGCGCAACAAGCGGCGGGTGTGCCTGGAAACATGTGGGCTTGATGGAGTGAGATCACTACATTTTGACAGAAGTGCTATGTCAGGGTAAACGGCGTTAAGTTGAAACCTTTCAACGTCAATGCTGGTCTTTTCCAAGGCTGTATTTTGTCCCCTCTTCTGTTCGTGTGTTACATGCGTTAAATAGTCAAGCGTAGCCATGGCAAAGGTGCATCAGTGCAGCAGATGTGGAGACGGGAAGAATGCTGTTGGCGGATGACCTTGTTTTGTTGGCATCTTCTGAAATTGAGCTACAGCGCTCTCTTTCAAGGCTCGCAGCCGTGCGACGTGGCCAAGCCGAGATGCGTGTGAACGTGTCTAAACAATAAAGTACCGTGTCTTCCCGCCGCCCTCTGCATATAAACGGAGAGGCAGTTTAACAAGAAGCTCAAGTAACTCAGAGTCGCATTTAGTAGCGATGGAAAATTTGAGGAAGAGATCGACCGGCGAATTGGATCAACCAGTGGCGTTCTGCGTGAACTAGTCTAAACGGCAGTGACTAAAGCACAGCCTAGTCTGAAATGTAAGCTCTCGATGTTCAAATCGATCATCATGCTGATGCTGACCTTCAGTCATTGCAGGACATGGTGGGTCGTGGCTAAAGAACTTCGATCGCTGACGCAATCGGCAGAAGTGGGCCTTCACAGACAAATGGCTGGGCTGACATGTCTCAATATTTTCCAAAGTTCAGATATCCTAAACAGCCTTGGTGATCAGCCGTTGCTTTTCCAGACTGACAAGTCATAGTTGCAGTGGTCATAATTTTGGGCAGGTTATGCGAATGGTTCCGGAAAGAAAGCAAACGAGCTACTACTTGATGAACGGACAGGCCGAAATCTGCGTTGACGGCCAAGAATAACCTGGGGGAAAGGCTCTGCTCTAGGCTCCGATCATCTCCTCCTTCGAAACTCAAACGCTGAAACAAGATCAAGAACGTTTAAAACACTATCTGTCAGGTGTGTCTCCGTGAGCCGAAAGGATTATTTGTCACTTAAACGGACTAATTGACTGACTGAATAGCATGAAGAGCGTCAGTTCCTAAAATATTATTCATAATGAGCGTAAAGTAGCTGAAACGCACATAGTGCTGCGAGTTGCATCTGGCACTGCAGGTGCCCAAACGCCATACGTCGTTCCTTCTTAAATGACCCTCGGGCAACTCGACGTAAAGGGTTGGTGCAATGCGCCGTGAAATATGGTTTTTGACTAGCTGTCATATTTATGAACATTTCAAAAACTTGTTTACGTATATTTTGAAATGTTTAGAAGAATGACTCCTAGCAATAGTTTATCAGTAGCACGATCATTAATTTTAATGCATGTTTAATGCCGTAAGTCATAATATTTTCAGAAACTACAAGTTCATATATAGTGAGAGAAAAAGCAGTGAATTCGAAACGAGGTGCACTTCATAGCGAAAATGTCGTATTCACTGGCAGTTAGTTTGAAGCGGTCAGCTAAAAGTTGCAAAAATCACTCACGGTAAGGACGGAATAGGGAACAATTTGTGAATAGTTACGATACGGATACGATTAGAAAAGCTAAAAAGCGATCGTTTCTGAAAATTGAGTTATATCTCAAACTGAATGTGAAACAATTAGGCAATCATAGACCCCGCCGCCCTGTGAAAATTATTTGGGTTGGTAAATAGCGACTATGAGACATAGTAGAGAAAAAACATATTCAGATTACCAAGGCAATGAATATCCTGAAATTTCGTGCACGGGTGCTTGAGCATCTGGTTGGCTTTGCATCTGGAGCAGTTCAGGCACGGCCCACGGTAATTGTACGACTTTGTGTAGGTGAATGGAGGACATGCCTCACAGACCGTGTTCACTGACGATGAACACGGACGAACCATGGTCTCCCCGGGTCGACAGCGACGACATGGAGTGCACATGTTTTTGTCCGACTGGTAAAAGAAGTCTTGGGTACATTCGCACTTGGTATTATGCGTAGAATTGCACTTGTGCACAGGGAAGGATTTCGCGGGGCACTGAGAACATGGTCGACACACCTGTTCATAGCTGGACACCGGCGAGTATGTGACTCCGTCTGTACAGGGCGAGCAGACAGTGTCATTGTGCTTCGTGCAAGGCAACGCCACGCCAAAACCCGGTTCGCATTTTTGGCAGCAAGTCCCAGTTTCAGGGTCATAGGCGGAATCTTGTGGGCATTCGTGTCGCAGCTTTGATCTCTGAAACAATATGATACAGAGGCTTTTTAGTCGGACACAGCGTGCACTCGAACAACAGTACACAAATGCACAACCTTCATGACTGATGAAATTGTCAATCCACATTTAGTAAAAGAAATAAGCATGGCGAAGCAAACATTCAATCCAAATACAGATTTTATATAAGGCGAAAAACGCTATCGTTTATCAATCAAAAATAGTATCCAGATAAAAAAATACATACAACACAAAAGCTATCATATCCAATCTCTAGAATGCGTGAATGTACAGTAATGGCCAATTCACACACGTATCAGGTCCAACATCATCCTTCGTCGTGAAATTACACATAAACTTTACTCCATATGGTCTTGAAGATACGAGAAAGCATCATTTAGCCCTTCGTTTCCTCAAGCGCTATACATGCACGGTGATTATTCAAGTCTTCTGAAGTTCATCTGAATGCCAGTAGTAGATGTTTATGGAAACTTTTGTGCTCTTTATCTGTCGCATAACACTTATGCTTGCGCAGAAGGGGTATAACCCTCTCACTTGAGGCAGATCAGAATGTTCAGAGAAATATGATGATGGTAATGGTATCAAATGAATAACAAATAAAGAATTAGGGGCCAACAGAAAGTATCTTGCAAGTACATCCTTACCATAAATTCAATGCGATTCTTCTTGA